TATTTTAAATTAATTAAAGTGGTTTAAATATCTACACAGAGATATGAATTCTTGTAGAAAATGTATAATTACAAATTTAATAGTATTTTATTATATTATCATGTAGTTAAATTCATACAAAAATATTTTTTAAATTCCGTACAACTAAATTGAAGTAAATTCATTAAATTTACTTTCGATTAAGCTTAACGAATGAATAGTTGGTAATTATAAATGTTATAATGTGCAATAAATGATAGAGTGGCATTTTGCAAGAATTTAATTTAATTAAAATATTTAATTTTCTAATATCAATTAATTAATATAATATAACCACTATGACGGCGCTCCGACTAGACTATTTAGCTACATGCATGTATTATTGTATCATTATTAAATTTTGCTTACATTTATGTATTTATTGATATTATTATATTATAATATAATATAGTACTTACTACTTAGTGTAATTATATAAATGTTAAACTATTTTGATCATGTTCCATTGTTGATTATCATTTTTAATGGTATTAAAACAATACGTTGCAGTTATTAGTTTAATATATATATATGTTTATTAATTAGTTTTCAATAATTGAATTGTTCTTAGGTCAACTAAATCAAGTTAAGATCACACAAAAATAAAAATTAATCCAAACAAATACTCGTATAATAAACTTATACATTATAGTACTTTATATTGAATTTTTGAAAGTTTTTTTTTAGTAATTATTATTAATAGTTTTTGCCGTGGTATTATGATTATATTATAGGTTTTGACTTACAACAAACTCATAAAATATGAAATGTATAACAATTTACAAGAAATATTAATTTTATGTTTTTTTTTTTTTATTAGTAGTACCTAGATACTAAAAAAATAGTATTTAATCAACTTCAAAGAATACGAAGAATTTGTAGTTCAAAATATTTTCATTATATTATTAAGTATACAATATTATTTAAATTAGTGAAAATGATTCCAAAAAAAACCACAGTTATACTAATATATATTATGATACTATTTAAAATGTTAAACTGTTATTTGAGAATTATACTATATTCTATGAAATTAATATTATAAGAATATGATAAAAGATTGAAAATATGAACATTTAGCATCTCGTATCACACACAATGAATGTAATCTTTAAGTTATATTAAATTTATAATCGTTGATCTGCATTGTTACTTCAGTCAGGCTTATTATATCTTTAAACAAACTTAACAATAATACATTCGTACAAAATTCGTGGGATAGAAATGCTCGTCACGTACAAGTTATTAAGAGTTTGGAAGTGGAAAAAATTTCTTAGTGGGTGCCAGTAAAATATTTACAAAATATAAACAAGTGAATAGTCTTCAATAGCAACCTAATGACAATTATTGTCTACTGGTTACTTTGACGTTAATTTAAGTGTTCGTATCGATTACTTGTACACATAATTTAACTTAACTAAATCGATATTCGTTTATTACCAAGTCATTTATAACTCACAACGAGACAAATATCCAGTACCAAAATATTCAAAATTAAAATTCGTCAAAAACACCCATACGACAGGTGTTTAAGACTATTTTGTTCTTACATTATATAACTTTATACTATAAGGTAAACTGAGAATTTAAATTTAACAAACTCTGTACACTTAAATTCAATTTATTATAAACAAACATTTAAGGAATATCGACAAAATTAATGTTTGAAAATGATTGAATGTTGAGTTTTTACGATACATCAACAATATATTTGAACTAAATTTTAAATGTGCATTTGAAAAAAGTTACAGTTTGTTATGTATAAATAAATATATAAATCAATGTTCATTTACTGTGGAATGTGGATATTCACAAATTGTTTGTTTGTTTATTTATAATAATTATATTAGGTACATTTAATACTGTTCATATTGAGCCATACATCAAGTTTTTTACACTTGTAAATTTATTATAATAATATTCTACACACTACTATTTTTTCAAAATATAAATATTTCAATTATTTATGGAATTGCTGTAACGAATGTTACTGTAAATCACATGCATTACATTTAATCAGCATTATAGGTTTAGGACGTTTAGGTACACATAGTTCTTAAAACCATAAAATATATATTTTATTCTCTTTGAAGAAATATATATTGCTGGGAAAACGTTTTAAAATTAGCAATTTAAAACACTCCTCTTTATAGCCATCATTCTCAGTTACAAATACTTTCATATGTACACCGTATGTTAATCATAAAGTAAGTAATACGAAAAAAAATCATTATGTGGCAGGAGGTATTTAAATTGTAGATTGGATATTTTTCCAAAAGAGAAATACTTAACTAATTATATTACATATCAATACATTTTTTGTTAAACATCTAATTTATATAAATGTATGGAAAATTCAAAAGTTATCAAAACTATAGCCATAAGTTGATTTAAATTGTTATTATTAATGAATATAGATTATACAGATATGCAACATTATTATTAGTTTTAATAAGTAATATTAACATTTGTATGCATTACTCTTACACAAAAAATTACTTTCGTATTAAATTAATTTCATTTATACTTTTACAAAAAAAAAATAATACTTCAAGAAAAATATCTAAAAACATAATACATCAGTACCAATATCTAAATACTTTTGACAGCTCCTATTAGATTTGTATGTGTTTGTCAGGAAATATGTATGCTGATTAATATTTTTTTCAGATCTAAATTTTGATACATATATATAAGTTTAGTAAGTAGTGAAAATTGCAGTAACATTAATTTATAAGTGATAACTGATAAGGATAACAATGTTCGTGGTGATCACCATATTAATTGTTTGAAAAATTATTTATTTTCATATTACTATAACCTATACCATTTGATATTGGTTTACGTAATATTGTATTTCGAATGAAATCATTTTTTATGGATCCTATGCATCAAATATTTTGTGTAGACATTGTCTGTCTTCGTTTTAAATCACGCTTGGGGTTGTGAATAATTTTTGACGCTCTTTCATGGTAGTTCTTAAGTGACATTATAACTCCTTTAAATTGTTTCGTAAAATCTTAAACGTAATGACTAGATTTGTTATTGCTCCCAAATGTCACGATCTCACAGGATTCCCATATAGCATAGATTTGAATAAAGAAATCGTTCTTGTGAACATTTCAACATATGGACCAGTTAGACGTATTATAATATACATACATATGTTATAATTTAACATTATACATAAGTATATGGTTTTGCTTTTATTGTTTATAGAATTTGACAAAGTGCAGCTACCTATGTGTTGTCTTAAAAAGCAGAGGGGTAACGCGCTAACGTAGAAGTAGTTTAACTACCTACTCGTTGATGGTGAATTGCACTTATTTATGCAATCTTATACGTAACTATGTGAGTGTATATGTGTTATTTATTATTTCCACCGTTGAAAACGACATTTTATTTAAACCACATATTGTACCTACTTCCATATTTATATGATTATTGTTACCATTATTGTTATAGTAATGGGTTTACGGCGTTTACGCTTAAGAACATAAAATAATATTGTGTTTACCTCGTTAGTTGATTCAAATATTAGCACCATGTGTTAATTTCTGGAGTACAGTGTGCAAGTCTGTTGCTTGTCTAAAAATATTAGAAACATTAGTTGCTGAATTCAAAAATTAATGTTAAATGTATGAAACTGTAATTGTCTGTAATTAATAATTATATAAATAAATAAAATATTATATATTATATAAATGCAAAATATAATAAATATGTTTTGTTACAAATGTTTGTTTGATAGAACAAGGACATTAACTATTGGATTTTTGAATGATTGATGAATAAAGTTTATTTTTAATGCTTATGAATGGCATAGGAGTATTCAAATCGAAAAACATCCAAATAATGTTTAGTACCTATTTAGTATATTATTTAGTTTTATTTTATATAAGTTGTATAACAATCTTTTAAATGCAAAACATTTTAATATCTATTACTATATATACTATTGTTTTATTATGAATTATTTTAATTTATATATTCATATTTTTGAAGTAGGGTCATTGGACCCCCCTTCTTTCATGCCTTCCCGTCCTGTAAACTGTACCTCCCTATTACTTATTGTATTGTATATTAAGAATATATTTGTACAATAAGAACACTACGATTTAAAATATCAATTAACTGATTAAACTATTAGTGTATATATTAATCCGATCGGCCTACTCACAATGTTAATCAAAATATCATTTCACTATATTGAAAAAAAGATGAATTAAAATTCGTGTTATCACAACACTGTATTATTAAATGATACAATAATTAATTTGTCTATCGTTTATATATTTACAGAATAGGCCAACATAGGTAGGTTACTACTTACTAAAGTAAATAACATTTTGCAATAATAATAACAAAACTTTTGTAAAATTCAAATTCAAGCCAAAATATTTAAAAAAAAATCTTACATAATACAAGAAAGGATTCCTTGAACATTTTAATTTTTAAAATCCCACATTTAAGTATTATACATAATGTATATTTTATATAAAAGTATTTTAAGTTTGTATTTCTTTTTCATTATATGTACTACAGAGCTAGGTATCGAAATTATAATTCCAAAACGAGGATCTGCTGTGAATTATAAATTGATTGGATTAAGGTGGCGCGTTGACAAAACAAATACAAATAAAATGGAATTTTACTTATTGTATTTGTAAAAATATTACCATAGATACGTATATATAGTATATACACTAAACCTAATTTTAACATTTATATATTTCTTAGCTGATGTCAAATAAGTATTGATCACACATTAATTATTGTTATTTATTTATTTATTTATTTATTTATTTATTTATAATGATTAACGCCAATCGGCTTTTATACAAAGTAATTGCATACAAAATAATAACAAATTTAAATAACAATATTAAAATAGTAAGACATAATAACAGTATTAAATATAGTAAGACAGCAAAAACCAATAATATGGTGAAACAAAAATAAAGGGCCCAGGCACGAAATTGTCACAAATTATATAAATTGTATACACGCATCAGTCTAGGGAGGGGTGCATTGGCAGCATAGTTGGACCGATCTGTTTGTAGGTAGAACGTGCCCTGGTATCGAGTGTTGCTAGGAACATGGATATTAAGTTTCTCTAATAATCGAGGTGCATCAATTTTCCCATTTAATAGCCCAGAAATAAATCGGTAACTATGTGTCTGACGTCTAACTGATAGTGACTCGAGACATAAAATATCATTTATTGGTTGATAGTCATGGGGTGGATGAGTAATGTTTAGGCAGTACCCAGCATTATTCAAAAACCTGTTCTGCACTCTGTCAAGTCTAAGTATATCACCAACGGTATACGGATCCCAGACAATAGAACCATACTCTAGTACCGAGCGTACTAGCGCACAATAGAGCACTGAGAGACATTTTGGAGAATTGAAACTCGCAGAATGTCGTCTAATAAAACCAAGTATGCGCACAGCTTTGCCTACTATGTGATCAATGTGAGGACGAAAATCTAAAGATGGGACAAAAAGGAAACCTAAGTCAATAATTTTGTCAACACGATCCAGGTGTAGACCATTGAGAGAATAGTCAAACATTATAATATTTCTAGTACGATAGAATGACATAACTTTGCATTTGGTATTATTTAGGGAGAGCCCAACAATGTCGCACCAGATTGTTAGTTTTACCAGAATTCTTTGAAGTATTTGACAGTCTTCCGTGGACGACACTGTGTGGAATATCTTAGCATCATCTGCAAATAACAGGACCCTCGCTGGAGAAATGACCGAGCAAATAGAGTTAATAAATATATTAAATAGCAGGGGGCCCAGATGACTACCTTGGGGAACACCTGATAAAACTTTGAATGATTTAGATTTCATACCAAATAATTTAACAAATTGAACTCGATCAGACAGATAAGATCTCAACCAGGTTAGGAGTGGGTCACCAATTCCTAACCGATCCAAGACATATATCAGTGTATTATGATCAATCGAATCGAAAGCTTTTGAGAAGTCTGTGTAAACAACGTCAACTTGCCGCCTAGCTGAAAAAGCATCATGTACAAAAGATACAAAATCAATTGCACTAGTAGATGTTGACCGACCAGGAAAAAATCCGTGTTGGTCAACCGAGATGGTTGACAAGAGTGGACGCTGGATACGCTTCAGAACAATCGATTCAAACATTTTCCCTAAGAATGGTAGACCAGAAATAGGCCGATAGTTAGTGACATCAGTAGGGTCCCCCGATTTTAGAATAGGTGTAACACGGCTACATTTCCAAACGGAGGGGAAGATTCCTTCTGCTAGGGATTTGTTAAATATCGAACAGATCGGCAAAGTGAGATGGTTTCTACAACGATACAAAAAGATGGCTGAAATACCATCAGGTCCGGAACCCCGAGTAGTAGCAAGTGATTCAAGAGCAGCAGACACCTCGTCAGGGGTAATTGTTATTGAGGATGGGAGAAACGAAAATTGCTCTGTAGTTATCAAGTTCAATTGAGAATCAGATATCACCCTAGGTTTAACATAAACCGAGGAAAAATAAGAAGCGAACAGATCTGAAACTTGATCACCGGAGGCACTTATGCTATCGAGATGAACTTTCTCCGGAATATTCTGACTACCTTGAGCCTTACGGGCATAGTCCCAAAACGAGCGTGGATTGTTACACAACTGCTCTTGCATTTTACACGTATAGGCTCTGTACTGCTTTTTTGATTCAAATTTACATTGAGCACGTAAAAGAGAGAAACAACGGTAATTATTAAATCCACCAAATGTTTTAAAAATTTTATGGGCCTGTTTCTTTTTGACCAAAAGATCCTTGAGGTTCTTAGTTACCCAGGGTGGAAAGGATGAGTTACGAAAAGTGAGCAAAGGTACACAGTGATCAATGACATGCAAAAGTGAGTTCTGTAAAAACTTAGCTGACTGCTCTGTCGTTAACGACGATAAATGATGAGCCCAGTTAATATTTCGTAAATCATCGTTTGCCTTAACATAGTTACCATGTTTGAAATCGTGAAAAGAATGACTATTATTAAGGACAGGGATATCTAAGGGACATGTGCAGGATATAGTAAGCGCTGGATGATACATATCACAAGGTAAGAGAGGCTCAGATGATTCCTCAACTTTGACAAATTTGTTATTTGTAAAAACTAAGTCAAGGAAAGAGTTATAGTTTTGTGAAATAATTATTTAAACATCCAAAAGAACTTTTTTAAGACTTTAAAAGATATAAAATTAGAAAACATTTTTAGACATATTTAATGCTATACAATCCACATAAAGCTCGTATACCTTGTATTATGAAAGTTATATAGTATTTAAATTTACTTTTTACAATTTAAGTTTATTCTGTCTGTAATATATTTTGATTGTCAAAACAATGAATGTGTATGATATATTTATAAATAGTTTTTACTTTTATGTGGTAAATAAAAATTTTATAACTCTTAAAACATTTAACTTAGACTGGAAATTAAAAGTTATATTAAATTTGAATGGTTCAAGAAAAATGTAAAATTTGCTTTAGGAAAACGTAATCTCTTAGTGTTCAAAAGTATAATTGCACAAAAATAAACGTATATTATTATATATAACCTATTTTTGAACATTATTCTAATTTCTAATACTTAGTAATTAAATATACAGTTATAAGAAATACAACAAATATAAAACCCTGCCAATAATTTAAAATATCAGGAAAGACAGAAACAATATTAAACCGACTAAGAATCCACCACATTAATCTCACGTAATGGACATCTTATAAAAAAAATCAATCTAATATAAAATGCACTTCTTGTGGAGTAGCAATGACGGTGAAACACAATGAACACAATGACGAAATGCAGATCCAACGAAGAAGAAAGAAAAGGGCACAACATACCAGAAAACCTCTATGAAATAATTGACCGCTTATTGATACTTATAAAACGTCATCTCATATTTTATTTAGAGAATCGAACCAGAGAATTATATTTATTTATCTTTTCAGTTGTAAAGCACAATTTATTTAAAACCAATTTATTATTTATTCAGTTTTTCTCCTATTCTATATTTAATCATGTAAATAGCATAAGATAACTAATGCCCCTGCTGACAATGCTTAAGATTTATAATTATAATGATTAAAAAAAGGAAAGTTATCAGATAGGTAGCATGAATTATTATTTTTTATTTAGGACTTTAAAACTTCAGTTACAGACCACTGACCAATGGCCCATGGGCAGGTTAAATAGTATCTTGTATTTGTTATACCTACTTCATCAATGTAGAACAATAAAGTTTTGTGATATCTAACACATTGTACATCGTACCTATATATCTGTTTAAAGTTAAATATAATTTTAATAATATGCATATTAAACATAATAATATAATATAGATTGTCATATACCTTTTAGTATAATCGATTAGGTATAATATAATGTAGTTATATAGGAAGATACATTGCTATATTTTTTACACTGAATCAATGACTAATGATTATTTTAGTGGTCTGTTAACTAAAAACTCCTCACAATAAATTGCCAGTAAAAATGTTGATTACAATTTATTACACTGATAAATGAAAATATTACCACAAGAACTTGATTAGTGTTGGGGAATTAATATTAAATATTTAACTAATATTCATAGAGGGTATGCCATTTCACATTCACGTGCTACAAGTTTGTCAATTTCCTTAACTAGTAATAATAGAGTGTACATTGTTTATATTTTTCTTATTGATATTAAATTTAAAATAATAAACTGTACCTACTTTTTATCAAATAACATATAATAAATTAAAACATGAATGTAAAAAAAAACACAAATTTAACTCGGTATGTACACCAGTTAATTTTATTATTTCAAATAGTTGTAAAAAATTGAATATTAATTATAATATTATTTTCATCACGGATGCATGCTATTCATTCATGACACATCTGCTTTTGATTTTATTGAAATATAAATACAGTGAATTATGAGTTAATTAAAAACAATAAATAGTGGTAAAAAAGTGGAGTAAATGTTTTAACAATTAAATAAAATGAAATGTAGCAGGTGTTAAATATTAAGACAATTTCATCAATTTCAAATAAAGTGTGATAATAACACTATAGGCACCTACTCGAATACGTAATTTTAAATTAATAAATGATTACACTGTAGTATTAATAAAAAAAAAAAACCATCTTGAATGTAGACATATTATTCTCGTTCATAATCAGAATATAAATTAGAAACCGTATAATAATTTAATTGAGTGTTTAGTCGTAGAGAATAAAAAAATTAATAAGTAATGTGGATTAAATAAAATAAATAAATAAATTAAATTTCCATTAAAATCATTTAACCCTACAAATGATTTTACATTTACAATTATTATTCCATTTAATAATAGATAATAGGTACCTATGAGTAGTACAATTTTTCTCAGTTTCTACATTGTAAGTGTTATCCTTATACTGGTATGGTATTTTATTTTATTGATCAATTTTGATTAATTACATCAGAAATGCAAACGATAATGTTTGAATGTTACAGTGACATTTTTTTAGATAAGAAACGAATAAATTATGCTTATAAATTATGACTTTTTGTTGTGTAGGTACGATTAAGGGTAGGAAAAGTGCTATAAAAATTCTAAGTTTCTGTATTGCTGATTATAAATTAAGCCAATCAATGACTAATTATTGATTTTCTCAGAAATATCACTAAATTTTACTGAAAACTTGCGAAAATCGTTAAAGAAATAACAGCGAATGGAGTTTTGATCGTTCTCCATTCAAGAGCTGTTTTCCGGTTGTGGTATACCGTTCTATGTACCTACATTGTTGATTTTTTTTTTTAATTTATAATTAATTCAACGAAACGTGCAGTTTGGAATCATAAGACTTTTAAATTTGGCATTGCCTATAGTATATATTATTTGTATACATGCATATATACCACACCATCATCGATATAATTTAATACATTTTGTCGCAGACATATTTTAAACGGACGATAAAATAAAAAAAAAACCGTTCAACATTTCGTGTGGTTTTTCGAGACCGAAAACACCCGCGGACGACTGTCGACTCGTGTCGGTGTGGGCGGCACCGGCGACAGGTCTTGCACGCAGGACCGCTACGCTTTTTGGCCGTCCCCGGTGCCAACCGACTCGGTATATAAGTGCGTGCGTAACGGCGATCGGGCGGACCTCCACCGGTATTATAATATTGTATCATTCCACTGCTGCCGATCGTGACGACCCTCACACGACCACGTCTAAGTCTCCCGATATCAACTGCACTAAGTCAGGTAAGAATTAATATTTCACGTTTTTTTTGGCGTTCTGCAGCTAAAAATTTTTTTATTTTTTAATCTTATTGCTTTGGAAATATTTTTTTTTTACCCAAGTTGGGAGCGCAATAAACGACTAAAGACGCTTGACGGATTCTGTTCACTGCAGCTTGTTCACCCTCGAGTAAGCGCATGCACACAATATGTATACAAGTGACACATATTTTTCCTTTAAGCGAGCTGTCGGAACCGGCTATTTTTTAAGTGGGCAAAGATGCAGGCAATTTTTATTTACGTGATTCTTTACGGAAAAATAAATTAAACTATTCTGC